CGACGCGCGTATGCTCATCCCGCAGCAGTGAGAAGCCACGCCGCGCCATGCTCTCATGCAGGCGACGCACGCACGCACGCACGCACGCACGCACGCACGCACACGCACAGCACGTATACGGGGGCCACGCACGCACGCACGCACGCACGCACGTCAGTGAGATCAGACAGCAGGCGCGGCCGCAGCAGTAGCAGCAGCGATTCACATGAGATGCTAAATCAACTCGCACGCGCGGTTTGGTGAAATACCGACTGCCGTGGCGCGGGTAGGTGTGCCGACCAGCATTAGCAGCAGCAGCAGCAGCAGCAGCAGCAGCAGCAGGCAGCAGCAGCAAGGAGGCAGCAACAGGCAGGTCACAGCAGCAGCAAACAGCAGGCAGGCCAAGCAGCAGCAAACAACAAGCAGTAGCAGCAGCAGCAGCAGCAGCAGCAGCAGCAGCAGCAGCAGCAGCAGCAGCAGCAGCAGCAGGAGCAGGAGCAGGAGCAGGAGCCTACGTACATCAGTGGTTGCTGCGATGATCGCACGCACGCAGGCGCGCGCTCGTTGTCTTTCCGCGCGCAGTCTCTGCCTGCATCACGCGGCCTGGTGACATGCTCATCTAGAGTTCATCGCTATTCTAGACCTTTGGTTTATTGCACTGTAAAAGCCAGCCAGGCTATGTCATCACTAGTCTGACACTAATAAATTGGTCGAGAACCATTCCTTGTGGGGCTCAGCCACGGGGGCTTTTGAAGTCGGTTGAGCTCACCACGGTGACATTTGATTACGGCGTACGCACTTTAGGTGGCACGCAGCGGTCGCCCTCCGCCACAGAACATTGCACTACTTCGTCTCTTTAAAAATGCGTTTTCTCCATTTTTTTGTGGTGTTATTCGAAAATTGGAGTGTAAGGAATTTCCATTTCACACGTAAGGTCGAAGCCTTATAGATATCTAGAAAGCATAAAAATTGAAATTGATCTTGTGGAAAAATTATGCCATGCAGCCCATGCTGCCAAGTGATGTAGCCATGGTAACCGGGCCAGCGCGTTGTGTGTGAAACGGGATTCGGACAACTTGGCTGGGAATTTGCATCATGTTGCCGGCAAAAATTCAGAGTGAAGTCTGGACTTTAAATCTGCGCTCATGCAACACGAATAATGTGTATGTTGCGTACGCACTGCAACCTTCAAGGTAGCTTTGAGAAAATGTTGTGTCATGCTTATTCAGGCCTGCTATCTACGGGCGCCATCTAATGGTGAATTCCACCCATACAGACGCTGTTATTCACGCACAGAATTGGGCATATGTATACGGTCGGGATGAACGCCGATGAAAAACGTGTTTGCCACACCTACGGTTACTGTGCACGCGTTAACGCGCGCCGATTACGTAGCGAAACTACGCGACGGCTTCTAATTTCATGCGGATAGCAGCCCCCATGCACATCACCGTTCGCGAGGGTAATTGCACACGCTTTGCGACAGGCAGCAAGAGGGCAGCGATGAGGGAGAGCCCGGGCGGTGTCTATTGATTCTAGAATAACCGACACACCGTGCTACAAATATATCAACACTTGCTCCTTGACGTGACACATTTCACCTCGACCTGAAAAAATACGGCTGACAGAGTATCTCGCGTTGTCCACAACAGAAGATGACAGGCGACATCTTTTTGAAGATGATTGCGACCCTGTGGCAACAGAGCACTGTAGACACCTACTCCAAATCGTTGCCAAACATTCACGAAGATCACGTTTTTCTTTCGTACTCGCAGAACATAAAATGCGTACGTAATCCACACCGAATGCATGATAACGTGGCAAGTACGTTGTATTTTACACTGAACGCTCGCTCCATCCATATTACCAGGAGCTAATAATGACAAATTTTGTCATTATTAGCTCCTGATATTACACGACCACGACCTTCTAATAGTAGCTGGATCGCGAGAAAAAACACTTATACGTCGTAAACACCTATTCCGACAGCCAAGACAATTTCGCTCAAGGTTTTTCTGCATCGCAATCAATCACCAGTCAGTCGCTCGTGGGTAATCAAAGCTGCCCTTTATGAGCAAACAGCGAGTCACTCACTACTCGTTCCCGTGCGAGTGAGCTATGTGTGGCATGATGTTACCTGTGTCGGGCAGTAGCACTACGTGTCACATGCGCAGGTGTGGGTAGATAAGTACTGTGTCGGTGTCTCTGCCTACGCATATTAGGTAAGCTACAGTAAACGACATGGGGCGGTGCAAATAATAAAAAAAGTGCAGCTTCAGAATGAAGAAATACATAAGGAACTTATAAAGACCACCGACTAGATAATTGCAGAATGAAGCCAAATAAAATCAGGATGCTGTTTGCACCTTCGTTGAACAAAATTCGACGACCACGTATGCATTCAGTTCATACGTATACTTCGGTACACACACAAAAACACGTAGGCGAACACACTCGACGCTGCGCATGCTCAACAGAAATGCAAATTTTCAAGATCGTCAATAAGCCATCATTACCATAAACGCACGATGCGATACAGTTGTGCATAGACGGGGGCGTTACGCGTTCCTGCCACCAGCTGGCGCCAGCACTGCATGAATCCCACTAATCAGTGATCAGTGCGAAACTGTGCAAACCAATGCACCGCAGGCGGTCGCAAAATCAGCGGCAAACGTCGCCAAACGAGCCGAATCATGCCGAGCGCGACGAACAACCTTCGCTCGTGAATTTTCGCTCGGCTCGTCCTCGAAGCCGATCGAGTCAGGCGGCGCGCAACGTCAGTGATAAACGATCTCGCATCTATTCGCACTTGTAGGGCACCACGCAGATCGTCCGAAATCAGAGTCGCATCGTTACCCTTGCCCGCCGGCGGCGACGTGCAGCGCCCGACGGAAATACATGCGCGATGAAACAACCGCCAGCAACAGCACTGACACGGAAGCTCATGCGCTTACCGTTATCTGTCACCAGGTGGCAGCAGGCAGCGCCCACCCACGTGCACTGGTAACCAATGCTGGTTACGCGTGTGTCTTCACTAATTTATTATATCACTTTCAATTTAGAATTTATTAGCGTTTATGAAAGTAGACTACCACCCCGGGTGCGTCGCTGCTCATATTTCGATGACGTAATTTTGCGTGACGTACTATGCGCGTGCACAACAAAGAAGACTCTCTTTGTCATTTTAACAAGTAATAATATATATAACAAATTAATATTATATATATATATATATATATATAATATTTTACAACCTTCCCACAATGTGGTGCTACCACCTTGCTCTGACCTTCCCAGTCCGTTTCATAAAGCACACGCTGATCCCAACCATCACCTCCCTCACAGCACACCGGGATGCCACCCCTCTCTTCCATATCAGTCGACTGCTGCCTCTCCACCCTCCCCCATCTAGCCCAACCTGATGTCCCCACCACACACTCATTATCTTATATGTTATCAGGATTGTCATAATGTACAGGGCCGTCGCTAGGGATGTCGGGATATAGACTATATTAGGTGATGTCTATTATTATAGAATAATATTAAATTATATATAATTATATTATATATTATTTATTATTATTTATTATTATTATATATGTTATATATTATTTATAATATAATAATATTATATTATAGGATAATATTATAGGATAGTATTACTATATTAGGTGATATTATAATATTCTGTGAGTCTATATTATGACACTCGTGATGTTATATCACTATATCCTCCAAGATAACCATCCTCCCACCAAGATCACAGTTTTTCCACATCTGGGCTTGAGCCCTCCTAGCCCTCCTTCACCCCTTCACTTACTACATATAATAGTATAATAATAAATATATAAATATAAATATATCATAATATAATAAATATAATAATAAATATAAATATATAATATAATATATATAATAGTACTCTTTCACGAGCACAACAGACGTTGCAGCGCTTCGAGTCAGGCTAGGACGCCAACGCAAGTCAGCTCGGGGGACGCGCGAGAGTTGTGTTAGCACAGTAACCTAATTAAGAAAGTTTGAAGCGATTTCTTCGCAAAGATTTGCATTCGCCGCACGGCAGCCGACTCAGAACGCGTCATGCATGACTGCCGAGCGGTTCTCGCAAATCAGCATCGAACTGCTGGAGGCATGTTTCTGTATAATTGCGTTTAAACAGCAGATAAGCTCTTGCCTATCAATTTTAATTACACGCGTTTGTGCGTAGCTGCGGCAACCCATCCTACTTGTACTAACCAGGAAATGCTGCTTTCCTGCTATGCCTGAATGGATGTTCAATTGAATTACAGTAGGCTGAGCAGATAAGGATTCATGGCCTATAAGATTCGCATAAAACTGGTTTTCCAACATCAATTTTAATGAAAAATTATGAATAGCTTAATGTCACTAAATTTAATTAGACTTTAGAACAAGGGTAAACAAGCCTTTTTCCAATTTAGCCACAGGTGTGGTGAATGATTAGCGAAATTCGCCACACTGCACAGAAATTGAGTAATTAAGTTCCTAATTTGAAAAGTAGACAACAAAACATCGTGTTTTAAAAACTTTATTCAAAACACTGCGTGGGATTGCGTCAACAGTCAGGCATCAGAGGGTGGAATAGGAAATGACAAGTTGCAACCAGCACACAATGTCAGGAAAAAGGCTTGTTACATATTACTGCGAGCGAAAATATGGCAAACTCACTTAAGTTGGCCACTCTTCCATTGCTAATTTGCCAATCGTGGTGATTGGTGGTAAGGTTGCCCACCCGTGCCTTAGGAGCTAATTAAGGTCATAACTGACTTTTTAATTAAAATAACTGTCATGTTGGCAGTTTCATGGACACCGCCCCTACAGTAACATGTGCTCACCAGGGGGCAGCACACCCCAGTATCGTTACGAATAAAATGCATAATGATTATTGGCACGCTATTGAATCCTTATAGATATACTACGAGCGTAAAACAGGAAATGCTTGTTCATGAACCACATTACAATAGACGGATATGCCTTTCTCTTACCTTCTCTTTCCTTCTCTGCGGTGATACGCTGCGTGAGCGAACCCTAGGTTTCTGCGGCTGAGTTGGGAAGCCCTTCTTTGCATTTGTCTTGTAGCCAGCCTCCCCCCTGCTCTCGCGCTTTGGGCTGCTCTCCTTCTTCACCTCCTCCTTCAACGACTTCTCCTTCATGACGCTGATGTTCGTCTTGTTCTTCTCGTTCTCGATGTTCTCTCGGATCTTGCTCTTGTTGAGCGACGTGCTCCGATTGTCCGACCGGCTCTCCGTCGTGCGATTATCGGGCACGACTTCCGACACCTTACGATCGGATCTCGGGTCCGACGCCCGCTTATCAGCCCGCACCTCCGACGTCCAGCCTCCGTCACGCCGCTGCAAGTACGTGTCGAAACTCACCGGGCGCGATCGGTCGGATGGGGCGAGCGTCGGGGGCGGCGCCGGCGGCGACGGAGCGGCGCTCATCATCTTCGGCGGCGACGACACCTGCCGAGAGATGAGCCCGTTCGTGTTCATGATGCGCCGCTGGTACTGCGCGCTCTCCTGCTCGAGCTCGCTCAGTATCGCGTCGTTGATGCGGCTGCCGATCTGCCGCGGAGACTTCGCGACGTACTTCGCCTTGTTGTTGTTGTTCTTTCCGTCGCCGACGTCGGTGAGGTCTTCGTTGGAGCTGCTGCGTCGCAGACACACCGGCGCCGCGTCGTCGGCGTCCGGCGAGCCGACGTCGACGTTGCTGCGGCTGCGGCGCATGCTGTCCGACTTCTTGCGCCGACTCTGATTCTTGACCATGCGCGGGGTGAGGCGCGGCGCATCGGAGTCGCCGCCGCCGCCGCGGCCAGATGGCGCCACGTCGCCGCGCGTCTCGTCGCGTTCCTCCGAGCTGCGGTCGTCGACGTCGTCGCGCTCGCTGCTCTCGTGCGATTGGCTGGAGTTGTTGTCCCACGAGTTGTGGCGCTCGTAGGTGGAGGCGCTGTAGTCGTTGTCGGTGTGCGCCGACCTCTTCTTTGCCGGCTCAATGTTGAGGGCGAGGAGGCTGCCGCTTGGTGATGGGGAAGACTGATGTCGCTGCCGACTGGGGCTCTCTCGGTTCTGCCGCAGCTTGTCCATCGCTGCAGCTGCTACTGCCATCTGTGGGAAGGCAGCGGTATACAGTATTCAGAAAACACGGCATTTTTTACGCGTTACAGAGCTGCAGTTGCTGCTGCCACCTGTGGGCAAACAGAGGTATGAAGTATTCAAATACACACAATTTCATGCTATGTATGTATTATAATATATCGTTGGATTAGCAAATATATACAATTTTACTTAAAGTGATGTGGTGAGAAAATCGCACTGTAGAGAATATTACTATACAGGAAACTGAGACGCAGTGCCTTCAAAATATGTCTGGAATTTGGTTGGGAATGTGACATACCGATTATTTCTTGCGAAACCACACAACATCTGTTGTGTACAAAACCAAACGTGTCAAATAGCATGCATTTCTTAAATCTAAATAATTTCATTAAATGTTCAGGAATATGTATTGTATTGAGAATGCTTACTTTTAGAACTTGATTTACCATATTAGTACTTACAAAAGTGCATTTTAATGGTTTAACAGTTTTAAGTTTTATCAATTGTACCAACTGAAACTTAGCAGGGACAGCAAACACAATAAATTTAAGAGATAATAACATTTTGGTAAGTATACTTAGGTAGGCTAACTCATAAATGGTCAACAACAAAAACATATATACGTTATGCAAGAATGCAATTGAAAATGTCCGGCTATAAGGTCGTGACCATGCAGTAAATGCTACTTGCTTGTTGCCTGTTGTAGACAAAACACGGCCTCTCTAGCAACTCTCTGCTTCCACTCTATAGGGGTTGTGCAAAATGTGGGGCTTACCTCCTCCTGCTGGCGTTTGATTTCGTCAGGGGTGGGTATTGACTGCTTGCTGGTGGGGTAAGTGACGCGTTTTGGCCTCGTCTTCAGACTGCGTGGGAACATCACCAGGACATCATACCACCTGAGGATACAAGAGCAACAGTGATTACTCTCACTCACGTTGCTTCATACTCATAGCAGCAGTTGCTCCCTGCTCCTCTAACTAGCTGATCTCACCTTCAAATTCCAGCTGGTCGGACACCAAGATTCATGAAATGCATCACAAACTCTACCATCTGTAGTCACCAGACAGTTAGCATTAACACAGTCCACCTGAGTGACTGACCCAACACCAACTCTTAAAATTACTACGTATATAAGAGCGTTCAGATCCTACTCGTTATACTTATTATCAGTTAGCGCATCGAATACAGCACCTAGTTGATTTTTACCAAGCACCCCACTATTCAATAACATTACTAGGATAGGAGAGGCCGCACGAGATATGCCTCAGCCGGGCGAATATCTGGCACGTATTTCTCCTGGGGCGGGTGAAGAAACGTTCCGTACCAGTTGATTTCCTCGCGGCTAGTGCCCTTGAGATACTCGCTCTTGCCAGAAGCGGTCACTGTGATGGAGTATTCGTGACCAGTGGTGCCTTCGGATCTCAGCACATCCGTACACTTGTTCATGTCAATAACACCTTGGGGAATGGTGTCAGGCTGTAACAACAATAACACACAAATATGTAAACGCATGCGAGAAATAGAGACAGTAGTATGTCAGAGAGAGGGAGCGAGAGAGGTGGGAAGGCCGTGAGAGAGAGAGGAAAGAACGAATGGGATGAAGAAAGGGAAGGAGAAAGATAAAGGGAAGGGTGATAGGGGGATGGGCAGAGAGAGAGAGAGAGAGAGAGAGAGAGAGAGAGAGAGAGAGAGAGAGGTGGGAGGAAGGGAGAGAGGGAAGGATGGAAGAATGGATAGAGGGAGGTTGGGAAAGAGGGAAGTATAGAGGGAGGGATGAATGGAGGGAGGGAGGAGGGAGAGAAAGACAGAGAGACACGAGAGAGAGTGGGGTTGTCGGCAGAAGGAAGTAAGGGAGAGAGAGAGAGGAGGGATGGCGGAAGGAAGGAAGTAGAGGGGGAGGGAGGGAGGGAGCAAGGGAGAGAGTCTGGGCCAGAACCAATGTACATAAAACAGTCCGGCAGATGGCAGCACAAACTGTAAGCGCAGCCGTGGTATATTTGGTATGCTGTGACGCGCGCTAAGACCTTCGACCTTCGACCTTCAGACGCGCGCTGAGACGCTTCGCACGTGCAAAGATGTTACCCGGATGTTTTCAGCAGAAAATACGGGATGAGGTTTTCTGAAAACGTATTGCTATTTAAAAACACCGAAAATCAAACAACCCGAAACACCACAGCCTGTATTAGGGCAACTTTGTCTCAACTGTCAGCCAAATCATGACAATCATAAAAAAGTGTCAGTGTATCACTTTAAAAATTCATCTGCCACTGTTATAGTTATTATAAGTAGCATTTTACGTGGAATTCGATCGTGGCGTACAGTGCGACTTCCATGGACAACGACATAAAAAGCAAACTGACCGCTTAGTTCACAGTGGCTCCGCCACAACATTCGTATGCAACCACCGCAGGCAACAGGCGTTCTGAAAAGTTGAAAACCTTTCACGTCACATGCCATGACCAGATGTATCGAAAGCTATAGGACTGTTTATGTATACACCGCCTATCGGCTATACCTACAGATGAACAGTTGCAGACATTGTAATAAGTGCAGCATCGACGCAATTTACAAACTAGAACATACACATGCTTGTAGAAAATAGCGAGCATGCCAATGTGTCTGTTTGTTTATGTGTACAAAAATCTCCCTGAAACGTACATGAGTGTAAGCCAGCATGTGACGAGAGTTACTATGACGGTCAGCGCTCATGACGACCCGTTAAGAATGTATAGCCGCCAATAGTTGCTACCACATAGAGCATGCGCAGGGAGCCAGTTGTCCACTACACTAACAGTTGCTACCACATAGAGCATGCGCAGGGAGCCAGTTGTCCACTACACTAACAGTTGCTACCACATAGAGTATGCTCAGGGCAGTTGTTCACTCGCCTATTCTAAGGCTAGTGAATGACGAATTTCCCTTGTTTATTGAAGTCACACTCCTTCCCTATTATCTACTACTGATATATATATATATAGCAACGTACACGAGGCTCGTGGCGTCAGTTGTGGCTCCACGCCTCTTTCTAGCATGTACAGTAGACGGGAGGGGCGCGCGGCTACGCGCACTGGCTGCAGAAGTGGGGTAAATATTTGTCCGGCCATAGTTCACTAGGGACAAGCGCGGATGCAATGGTCACTTAGCACGGCACACCGCCGCTGTCAATCAGTAAGCAGATCGTGTGCGGGAGACGAACCTGAGGTGGTGGTGACAGGCAGGTCGGGCGGCTAATGTAGTGAGACAGAGCTCTGTGTGGGGCATGCACTCAGCTTGACACCTCGTGGAAGTTACTGTAGTAAACGCGAGCAGGAGGGGTGATACTCCATTAGAAGTGTTCCCAACTTTAATGTCATTAATGGTCATAATAACATATATATACATATATATATTGGTCATATATTAGTTTGTGGTTTAATGTCATTTAGGTTAGGGTAAGGGTTAGGGTTAGGGTTAGAATTATCAATCATTAATCATTAATGATATCAAAGTTAGGAACACTCTTAATGGAGCATTAGCCAGCAGGAGCGCGAGAAAACTACAGTGTAAGCGGTTATTCTGCAGTGTATTCACCATGAATTGATGGTTACGATGGTTATGATGAAATGTGACACAACACTAGATCTACGAGGTCATTTTCTAGACAGTGCTGTTATACGTGACACAGGGACTCCAGTGTAACGCGCAACATTGCAAGGTGTGCGAGTCATTGCGAAATTGCGAAGTTGGTACGATTCGGCAATTCGCCAACTCAAAGTTGGCAGTGTAAACCCGGCTTCAGGCGTCAGATAAACACCAGCGAACTCTTGAAATATAACTCTTTCATAGAAACTAGACATATACTAACGAGCGCATTTTAATTTCCGAAAGTATTTAATATTCGGTCTGCCACACTTTGCTGAAATGCAGTGAATATATTGTTGAATCGACCTCCCCCATATCAATGTGCGCCGCACCGCGCTACAATCGTGTATATTCCCTCAGCATCTCAATTCTCTTATCTCCCGTTCTCTATATTTTCTTATACTTTCCTTGGACCACTCTCAATCTGTCACTTTACTTCTATTCCGTGTGCACCCGGACGCACGGACCCACGCGCGGACGCACGCACGCACTCTCTCGTGACTTTACTTCTACTCTACGTGAACTTCCACAGTAGCAACGTCCCTGGCACACGTCCACGCATATATATATATATATGCAGGAAGCCGCGACTGGTGCCAAACAAAAGACGGGAAACGTAATCGCATTTCAAACGCAAATACCGCGCGCTGCCTCGCAACGACGACGACAACAACACGGACACTAGTACTGAGTCACGCTGCGTGCGGCGATCCACCCCGGTGCGCTAGAGAACACGAAAAAAAACCCGCGCGCGATCCCAGTTCTCGGAACTCGCAGCATCCAGACCGTGCCTGCCCGCCCGCCCCCATCGCACCGACACTGTTGCTGATGAGCTGGCGGACTTAATTACGAAAAACAATTAACTGCGATGACGTCACGTCGCGCGTCCCCCTGGCAACTTTAACCTCCCCGATAACGACAGACAACGCTCCACGCAGAGAGGATGCGACTCGCGCGAGACGGATCGTCATGGCAACGGGATGCATATACATATACCGCGGCGACGAGATGGCGATCCGGCGACGACGGCTGCGCGCGAAAAAGAGGCTTGCCGTCGGCCGTCTGTTTTGATAAGCTCATCAAGGAGTCATGTGATACTAACAGTAGCGGGGGTTGGCTGGCTGCGTGCGTTGACATCTGTGGCGGCTCAGGTCACGTCATAACAGTCTGAGAGCAGGCCGCCCCGATGACAGCTAAACACACTACATATCGCAGACGCCGGTGGTAGACCTCAAAACCATGCATGCACGATGAGCGCCCAAGTAGCCACAGGCACTTGGCGCGTTTCAATAAAATTTAATGCTAAATAAATACGAAATCTATATTTACTACCAAAGTTTTAATGTTTCTCTAGTCTCTTTCACCTATTATTGCCGACAATTTCCTGTAAATGCCGTCCAAATGCTCATCTGCAACACATGCTGGCTGCCGCACGCTAGCTGCTGCACACTGACATATAAATATTTATTTTTATTTTATTATATTATTTTTTTATTATTTTATTATATTATATTATAAAAATAAATATATTTATGTGTCAGTGTGCAGCAGCTAGCGTGCGGCAACCAGCGTGTGTTGCAGATGAGCATTTGGACGGCATTGATAGGAAATTGTCGGCAATAATAGGTGAAAGAGAGTAGAGAAACATTAAGACTTTGGTAGTAAATAGATTTCGTATTTATTTAGCATTATATTTTATTGAAACGCTCCAAGTGCCTGTGCAAGTAGCGGCCGCATGAACACCCGCGTAGCATAATGTCATCGGATTTCGTTTTAACGTAAAATAATGGCGGTACTTCTTCGCTTCTATATAATACCTTATCTTCTCCTATGATTTGGAGATAAATCCAAAATATTTAGTGAAGCAATAAATTTTCGACAGCCGATAACTGATCGTCCGCTTAAATACGGATACGCACGGACCGCCAGGACGTCAATGCAGCTACGTGCACACTCACGGCTGAGTCTCATACATAGTGTCAAGGATAGTGTACGTTCACGCGCGTTCAATGAGAAAGCACCTGCAACAGTATAGCTATCAGATTACAAGTAATCATCATAAAAAAATCGTCATAAAATAATAAAAGAAAAGAAAAAATCGTCATAAAAATCGTTTTCTACGCATTCTAAGCGTAGAAAACGAGAGAAAAGGATTTGCAGACCAGACGGAACTAAATCAACTGGTCACGACCAACCTATAACGAGCGTTGTGGTCATTTTACACATCTACAATGACAGCATCGATGCAGAGACTTGTTCTCGCGGAAGAAAGCAAAAAATCCCCTAAACGTCCACCCGCGGTGATAGCAACCCGCCATCTTACTCTACACGCCCTCTCTGTGGTGAAAACAAACCTATAGTACAACCCCCCGCGCGCCCCTGGGGCATAGACATGGGTTGCGTATCATCCAGTATCATGCGCGATCATGATGAAACACTTTTTTGTGGTTGTTTTCTAATTGCTATGATTTCGAAGCTATGTAATGTAGTCGATAACTAACCCTCGGGATTGCAATACACACGCACGACACGTCGCTGGAATGGCGGGTTTTTGCGCGCAAACATCCTCTTGTCTGTTTTTCTACTCAGTCATGCACACGATATATTATGGTTGAAGAGCGCGAGGAAACGCAAAACAACGAACGAAAAGGTTTCCGACGTGACTGCGTAGTTTTATCGTGCGTCTGTACTTGTAGGGCGAGCAAATAGATATGCACCACGGGGCTGGCTGTATATGAAGCTAGGGATATGGTCTTTGTTGCCGCACGCCTGCCCGCAGATGTGCCAAGGTTCAACCACCAGACTTGCCATGTGCCCACCCTTGGCTTCAGTAACTCTGTAGCCGTAAAGGCGTA